GTCCCGCCCCCTCCCCTCTTTTCCCCTACCACCCTTCCTCGCGCCCGCCACTCCTTTCCAACACACACACACATCACGCACGCACACACGCACGCACGCACACACGCACACACACACACATGCACACACACGCACACAAACATTCATGCACCACGCACACCCCTCAAGGTTGGCCTGGCGTCGCGCCTGGAGAAGCACGAGCTGCTGGAGTTCCGGCGGCTGGCGGCCTTTGTGTACAAGCGCAACCTGCGCTGGCGCAAGGCCGTGGAGCTCGCAAAGGCAGACAAGTGCGTTCTGGGGGGATCGAGGTCGTGTGTGTGCGTGTGTGTGTGTGTTTGTGTGTGTGTGTGTGTGTGCGCGCGCGCATGTGCTTCGAGAAGGGCCTTGGAATTAGTTTTGGAGTGTCCAGCTCCAGGAACAAAGCTCTGTTCTGCTCGTGACAGCCGCTCGCCCGCGCGTCCGCTTGGCTCACTGGTGTCGTGCTGCGCCGCCGCCCGCGCGCGCCGCCTGCCCTCAAGACCCGTCCCCGCGCGCGCCGCCCCACCCCACACCATGTCATCACCCCGTTCTCCACCCCTGCACCCCCCGCCCCCACCAGGCTCTACAAGGACGCAATGGAGACAGTCGCGGTGAGGGCGGCGACGCGTGCATCCGCAGCGCCCCGGTGCTCACAAGTCGCTTTCTGCTGCCGGGCCACCCCACCATCATGGCTTCTTTGGAGCTCCCGCGTCGACCCCCCGCGCCCATATAATGGCACCTGCAATTCTGCTGCCCCGTGGCCGTTCGAATGGCGCCCCTCGTGCGCATCGCGGCATCCCCTGAAACCTGCCCCTGCCCCCGGCTGGCAGGGGGGGCTGGCCGCTGGATGATATGTCCTGACATCGCTCCGCCTCCCGACCGTCTCCAACCCCCCCCCCCCCCTCTCCTCCCGCGAAGGTGTCTGCCACCCCGGAGCTGGCCGAGGAGCTGCTGCGCTGGTTTGTGTCCCAGGGCGAGAAGGAGTGCTTCGCGGCGACGCTGTTCACCTGCTACGAGCTGCTGCGGCCCGACGTGGTGGCGGAGGTGGCCTGGATGAACAAGCTCGGGGACTTTGCCATGCCGTACATGGTCCAGGTGGGCTGGGGAGCACGGTGTGTTTGTGGGGGGGGGGGCGATCAAAGGGGGGGCCAAGGCGTCAGAGGATTGGCGATTGGCGAGCGGTCGTTTGGGGCGGCGGTGTGCTGGCGCCTCTGGGATCTGTGCGTGCGCGTTGATTTGCGTGCGGCAGCTCGCCAGCCCTCCAGGCCCTCCCGCCGTTGCGGGCGACCTGTCGTGCTGACTGCGCGCATGCTGCGTCTCGGGTGGGTTCGCCGGACCCAGTCCACGCATGCCTCCCCCTGATCACCCCACCCCACCCCTGATCACCCCACACCCTCACCCTGATCCCCTCCCCCTCACACATATCCCTCGCGCACCCCCTGATACACCCCCCAGGTGATCAAGGAGTACACCGGCAAGGTGGACCTGCTCATGAGCGAGCGCAAGGAGGCCAAGGAGGCGGAGAAGGGCGCGGTGGAGGCCATCAAGCAGCAGCAGGCCGCGGCAAACAGCTACGCCATGCTCATGCCGCTCGCGCTGCCGGCGCCGGGGCAGGGCGGCGGGCCGGAGTTGGGGTACGCGCCGCACCCGGGGATTGGGGGCGTGCCGCCGCCGGGGTACGGGCCGGCCGCGGGGTTCACGGGGCAGCCGTACTGACGCGCGGGCTGGGGGCTTTGAAGGGGGAGTTCCAAATTCCGGCACCTGCGGCGAGCCGCGCGGCCGGCGCAGTTTGGGGTCCGAGACGGGCCGTCCCTCACGGGCCGCATGCTTGTGCTGTGTGTGAGACTGGGTTTCTTTGATGGGATCGAGGCAGTCAGCGCGCGCGTGAGCACGCGCAGGCGCAGGCGCGCGCCGCCGGACAGCCCCAGCAAGGGCTGCGCCGCGGCCCGTCCGGCGCTGCCGTCCGCTGCGCCAGCGCCCCCCCGCACGCCTGAGCGCGCGCTGCAGGTGATGTGCATCTCCTTTGCATCACGCCGCGCGATGCACAGCATTTCCTGTAACCCAACGACCACTCACGCACCCTGAGACGTTTGAGCGTAGGGTAAAGGGCGCCATGCGCAGCGGCAGCAGCCGGGGGGCCTCGCAGCCTGCGCCCTCAGTTGACGCTGTAATCTGCGGACGTCGAGCATGACCCCCTCCATGACTGCTTGAGGCCGCTGGCACTGCTGTCGGGAGAGGGAGCCAGGTTCTCAGGGTGATGGGGGCCATGCCAATCCTAGACTCCTTGGAAGATTGCCAGCAGCACGCGGCACCGATGCCTGCTGCCTCGGAGGCCCCGGCATTGTGCAGGGGCTCGACATGCACCCCACCAGGGCGGCACTCACGTGCCGTCTTTGGGGGTGTAACCTGGGGCCCTGCAAGATCCGCGTGTGACAGTTTAATGCGTGGGCCAGCTGTCAGCTTCTCACGGCGCCGCGCCAGGCTGCTGCAGACTTCAGATTCCCGCTGATGGTGGCAGCGGTCAACAGCAGGCAATATGCAGCGCTCTCGTGGGCTGCGTGTCAAGCAGGGCTAACAAGTGGCGCGTCGCGCCGGTTGCACACCTTCTGACCATTCACTTGGTTTCGCAGCGGTGCATCGCCTCGGCATGCGGCCGCCAACTGTGCGTGTGGGGCATGCAGCGCTCCTGCCTCGCAACCGCACAACCCCGAGGCAATCCAACCAACCGATTCGCCCCGACACGAAGCTCGCAACATCACCGAGCCTTCTCTGCTATCGGCTGAGCAGGAAGGCAGTCGTAACAAAATTATCTCACAGCTCTTGTCTACAACATCTACAAGGCCCTGGAATTCGCGCACCCCCACTACTAGGCAGATTACTGCAGGTTGACTTTTGGAAGATGAACAGGCTTGTTACAAGCCTGAAATACTTCTCCATGACATATTCCGGTCATATTGTCATCTTTTATGAAACTATTGTTACAGGATTCCGCTTAGCGGGCTCCTGTCGTGTTGACACGTGTCGGTCAGCGCGTTCCGGACGTTGCGCGTTCACGCCTTATTTGCATCATGGTCCACGACAAAACTATATTGCTGCTGTTGACGTGCTGGTGCGCGGTGATGTGCACGAGCCCGGCTACGGCGCTGATGCAGCAGCTGAAGGTTCTCGTGCTCTCCACGCCCGGTGAGTTTGTGGATGCTCGTGTGTGTGCCACAACTGCGCAAGCTAAAAATCTTTGCAACAACAAACGCATTTGAGCCAAGGTAATGTCGAAACGCCCCATTACAGCCCTCGTCTTCACAGCCCTGACTCTGCCTCGGAGGCGCTCAACTAGCACCGAGGCGCCAGCTCCTTCCCGGAGCGCCTCGCATTCATTACGCGCCGCCCACGCCGCACCACAAGGCGATCATGCCATGTCCCTTTTGTAAGGCGTGCGTTGCAATCCCCCACAACCCGACTGCCCCTCCAGGGTTTGTGGGCACCGACTTTCTCGAGGCCACGATGGACGGCCTGGGCGTGCCCTACGAGGTGGTGCGCGTGGACAGGGCGGCGGCGCAGCCCCTCAACTTCACCCAGCTGCTCTGGAACCCCGACGGCTCCGCGCGCTACGCCGGCTACTTCATGTGCGCGGCGAGGCCTTGCTGTGCCAAGCAGCCCTTGCATGCTTGAGGCGCCATTTTTGGTGCTGTGGCTGCTGCACACCGCAATGCCTCGGAAGCCCCTAACACATGTATTGCCTTGTCTGCGCGCCTTGCCTGCACCCTCACGTGTGCACGCATGAGCGCACGCGCACTTGCACGTGCGCGCGCGCGTGTGCACGCACACACACACACACACACACACACACACACAAACACACAAACACACACGCGCGCGCGCGCGAGCGCGCGCGTGCACACTCACGGGTGAGTCTCGCATAACGTGCCCATCTGGCCTAGGGCGCCCAACCTGGAGGCCATCGGCACGCTCAACAAGTCGGACGTTCTCACGCTTTGGGACTTCCAGCTGCGCACCGGCGCACGCAGCGCCAGGTTTGGCGTCTGGCCCGGGGTGAGTTGGGGCCTGTTTGGCCGGATGGCTGAAACATGCTGCAATGATGTACCTGTCCTGCTCAGCTGTAGCCAGTGTGCGCACTGGCTAGCGTGGCTCCTCACGAATTGCGCGCGTCCAACTTCCAGCAGCAGTCTTCTGAGTGGCCCCTGACCGTGCTCGATGTCCTGACGCTCCCACCCCTTGCAGAGCATCAGCTTCAACGCAGACACTGCCTCCTGCAGTGCGGCAGACCTGCCCATGACGTTCAGCGCAGGGGCGGCGCCTGTCATCGGCTCGTCGGGCATCAACCCCGCCGCAACCCTCGGGAACGAGGGCCTTTGGAGGTGAGCGGCACAAGATCTGGAAGCGTTATCGAGAGTGCACCCCTACTAGTATGCGATCGTTCCTGCTGCAATGCAATGCTGTAGCGTACATTTCTTGCAAGCGTCACCCGTCTGTGTCAGATTGTCACCCGTGCTGCCGTTTTGTGTCTACCGTATCATGAACGTTTCGAACGCCCGGTTCTGCGATCTTCTAGTCAACGCGTGCGTTGACAGCGACTTCGACCTGCTGCAGAGTACCGCCACACAGGTCGCGGCAGCGCTGCACACACACCCCGCCCGACGCCTTCCGCCGCAGGTGCCCCTTCACCAAGACACCAGCAACCGTCGATTGCCCGATCTGCGCTGCAGACTTCCCCGAATGCATCAGGCCCAACTGTACAGCGACACCCGTCCTTGATTTTGCTGGTGGCGCCACCGCGGGCGGCGCCCTGGTCAAGTACGCTGACGGCCGCGAGTCCCTGGCCTTCATCTTTGACTGCGCCGCCTTCAGCCCGACCTGCATGGTCCTGGGCCACCTGTCGCTGAGCTGGCTGCTGCATGACATCATCCCGGGGCAGAGGGACGCCCTGCTGACCATTCACCAGTGAGGGGCCAAGAAAGTGGGGGCCTGCCTGTGCTGAAGGTGTTGGCAATGCATTCCTGCCGTACGCTGTGTGCAGCAAAAAGAGCACAAAGACGGGATGGACAAAAGTTGTTTTGTGGCTATAGTTTCCCCAAACTTCGCCCTCTATTTTCCCAATTTCTCATGAGGTGTGCTGTGACCGCAACCGTTTGCTGGAGGCAATGCGGCTGGAGTCCGCAGTGTGGGCCAAACTCACATGGCCCCCTGACAACCCTTGCACGCGCACATGCACCCCCTCGCACACATAACCATTTTAACATGCAACACCCCGGCTTGCGTGCGCTGCACAGTGACGACATCTTTCTGACCACAGAGTTCTCCAAGCCCATAACGGACGGGGGTGTCACGCGTACGGCCTACCGCGCCACAAAGGCAGACCTGCTGGCGCACCTCACATGGCAGGCGACCCTCAACGCCAAACTGCCAGCCGGCAGCGACTTCAAGTGAGTCAATTGGCGCCGTGGCGCTGTGGGCGCTGACACATATGCTGTTGCTCTCGCGCATATCGGTACACGCCATTGCCCTGCATGGCCGCATGCCCGCTCTTGCCGCCGCATACATTCAGTTGTCCTCGCATGCGCACACCCACCTCTGCCTCCACATCTGCACCTGAGGCGCGGCAGACCCACCAGCCAGCCCCAATCCCCTGATACCCCCACCTTTGCCATGCCGCCCACCTCGAACCGGCCCAACCCGAAGGCTGGAGTTCCCTTTCAACGGCGCGGGCGTCCTGGAGACCGCGGCGCAGGCGTCCACGCCTGGCCAGTTCACAGCCACCCTCCTGGACATCGACGACCGCGGCTGCCTGGACCTTCCGGAGTACAACACATCAGGCTGCGGCTGCTGGTTCAGCGGGACAGCCACATGCTCGTCGCCCTCCGCCTTCTGCAGGAACTGCACGAAGGCGCGTGCAGGGGCCTGGAAGCAGGGGCCAGCGGGCAGCACAATTGGATTGGGGGGCTTGGAGCTGCAGGAGTTGCAAATGGCGCCAAGCACACTCGTTTGGGAGCGGGCTACCGTTGTATTTGGGGGGGGGGGAGAAGGGGGGGGGCAGGCGTTGGTTTTCTACATTATGGGTTCTTTGTAGGCCGGCACTCACCTTCACAGAGCTGTAGCCCGGGCTGGGATGTAGCACAATAGGGCTTGCGCTCAAAAGCTGAATCACCGTCACCGCACCGCCACGCACTGTTGCCGCCCGCCCCGCAGGATTGGGCCAAGCCGGCCGGATTTGGGACGAACCGCGTCGCCGCCGTGAGCCGCCTGGCTGCATGTCGCCGTTCTCACATCCCCGCAGTCGCGGGCCGTGGACAGGCTGCCAAGCTTGAGGACACTGATGCAGATGTGATGGCGCGGCGGGCCGTGCACACTACATTCTTGACCTGCCCTCCATCCCCTCTCTCAGGCTCGCTGCCCAATCCGATGCTGATCCCTCCACTACCCTGCTCTTGGATCCAACCCTGCCCACCCCAGGACGCCCTGGCCACTGTTTCCACCTGGAGCCTGGCCCAGATCAGGGCCGGTGACGAGCTGGCCGACTACGTAATCAGCGAACCCGCCCCCACGAGCGGCTTCAACTGGTGCTCACACACCTTCTCACACCAGGTGAGCCTCACACTAGAACCCGCAACAGGAGGAGGCGGCATGCATGGCAGCCCTGGCTGGGCCAGCCTCAAATAATGGCCCGTGGAGGGGCCTGATGGCGCAGCGCCTTGGCCCCGCTCATCAATCGACCACTATCGCCTAGTTGCGAGCGCGCCCAAGCAAGCAGCCCGCCAAGCATTCCTTTGCGCCCCGTCTATTGCCCCCAGAACCTGGACAACGCAACCTCGTATGACACGGATATGCAGCTGAGGCTCAACGCAGCTATGGCGGCCCCGGTGAGCACCTGATGAGGGGAGATGAGGGGAGATGAGGGGCCGTGCCCGCGCGCATGCCGCAGCCACGGCATTGCCTTGGGGCCCTGGGCTGCCACAGGGACGGTGCCAGCTGTGCGCGCTGGCTCTTGCATGACATTCGGGCAAGTGCAGGGGCGGGTTCTGGGGCTAGATTTGGGTCCCCATGCTGCGGCTGGTGTGAGAGGAGCGGCCTGTTTGGGGTCTAGCGCTGCTCGCTCCACAGTATCATTCAACTAGTAGGTATCCCTTGTCTGGAGTGCGTTGACCCTGACGCGTGTCACGTTTCCCTTTGCCTTGCCTGCGGGAGAATGCAGGCCTTCCTCGGCCTCACTACCAAGGCCTCCTGGAGCAGCAGCTCCATGGTAACCCCCCAGATCAGCGGCCTGCGCAACGGCGACGCACTTGCCACCCTGAAGGCCAACGGGGTCACCTGCGTCACCGGTGACAACACTTGGTGAGGTGCTCGATTACCGCCTGCTTGCAAGCAAGGTGTTTGGGCGGGGCGTGGTGAAGCGCGGCCTTGCAGCAGGCCAGCAGCTTGGTGAGCATGCCTTTTGAGCGATTGTTAGCTGATGACGACGCCGCGCTTTCACGCCCTGTGCTCAGGCCCTTCCTGCTCAACAAGGAGCAGCCCTACCACATGCTGTACACCACGGCAGCAACTAACGGCATCGACGGCATCGCCATCATGCCCAGGTTTGGGGTTCTTGACCAGCATGGCATGCTTGCTGGGTAGCTGTGCACACAGCAGCGACAACACTACACACCAGGCAGTGTAGCCCTACGTCATGCCACACTGCCTCGCCGCGCTGGCATTTATTTTTAGAGGTGTTTTTCAAGTCAATGTGGCCATGACTCCTCCCCCGCCCTTGCATTACGGCGACCTCAACGCTGCCCCCAGGTCCGCCACCGAGGTGTACTACAACTGCACCACTGCTGCCCAGAACCTTGACCTCTACAACTTCCTCTACTTCAAGGTGTTCAACAGGGACTCCACCTTTGACGAGGTGCTGGCGCGCGAGGCCGTCAGGGTGGTGCGTGATGGGCTGCTAAAGCTGCGCCACGACCCCTACATGATGGTGAGGCGATGTTGATGGTCGGGCATCTGATCATGAAATTGCCTGTCCCCGTGCATGACCACCACCCCAAAGAGTAGGGTGGCTTTGATGACTTGAGCGCCTATATCAACTGATGCACGGCAGCCTGTAAAAATCTAATATCCTAAGTCACTGTTCCTTGTGCCGCCTGTGCCAAGTGCTTATGTCTTGCCTTGGACCCGCAGCACCAAGCCAACCTCGGCCTCGTCGACTCATCGGGCCGCTCCCTTGTCATGCGTTGGGTCGACGCCGTTGTGGCGGAGTTCACCAAGTACACCAATTGGCCCCTGAGGTCTGCAAAGCTTGACGACCTCAGGGCCATCTTTGAGGCCCGCGAGGCGCGCGATGCTTGCAAGCTTTCCTACCAGATTGAGACCACCCCCTTGGGCACAGCTACGGCTGTGACAGTCTCCAGCGCTGCGGCAGCGTCCGGCGCCAAGTGCGACGCCCCGCTGATGCTTGGGGCCGGCGTCGGCGGCGCAGCCGCGAAACAGGTCATGATCCCCCTGGTGTCAGGGGGCTCGGCGAGGGTGGAGCTGACAGGACAGCAGTGGAATGCGTTCACTGTCGTGCGGCCGTGCTCACCACCATGCCTCAACGGTGGAGTCTGCAACACGACAGTGGGTGTTTGCGACTGCACCGGCACAAACTTCACCGGCGCCGACTGCTCCACTGCAGGTTAGCATAATAATGATACGGTCTGTCTAGGCATCCGATTGTTCCGGGAAACACCTACACCTAGCGCGAAGTCGCTGCTGTTGCATTGGTTATACAGTGCAGGTGTGTCCCTCACTGCTCCTTACTAAGTGTCCCTGCATAATCTGACGAGCACTGAACCCATCTTGCCTTATCTGTGTGCCATTTGCAGCGTGCACGGCCGCCAATTGCACCACTTGTGCCGCGGGCTCTGCCACGGCGTGCGCCACGTGCCAAGCTGGCTACACCCTCGCAAACGGCCAGTGCGCCCTGAGTGAGTGGCGTCGCTGTTCATGTGTGAGGTGTGGCAAAACACCTGGATGTGCCATGTGCGCAAAGCCTGGAGTGCATACGTGGGTCTAGATCTGTCCAATCATCACTAGGGGTGCACACCTCGTCTTCAACCCATCTTAAAAGTCGCCATCCTCCACTCTGTGATGATTGCAGCATGCACTGCCGCCAACTGCACCACCTGCGCTGCGGGCTCCGCCACGG